TAGCCACTTCCAAAAGCCACCAACTAGTATTCTGTCCAGAAAGAAAACATACAACAAAAAAAATACTCTTAGAAGACATTTGTTTCCAACCCAATATAGAATTCGTCAAAAAGATTGTATATTTAATTTCTGATCCAAAACTATCCTTAAAATCTTTTTGTTTAAAAGATCCTAAAGGAAATTTAACAACATCCCAACCTAAAAATTTAGCCTTTGACTCAATATCATCATATAATATTTTGCATTTTAGTCGAATCAATATTTCTAATATATTTTGATTTGGAATATTAATTAGCTTTCCATAATTTTTTATACTCAAAGGTGAACATAGAAAAAAATCGGATTCCATAAGTTTAAATTTTCCACAAATAGGATTAATAAATATTAAAATATTTTTTGCTTTTGAACATCTAATTTTTAAAACAGGAATTTCATTATTTATGCCAGTACTGGAAATGAAAACAGAATCAATTGAAAAACTACCAGATTCTAATAACGTTGAGTAGATTTTCTTTAGAAGCAGCATTGAATGAGCACTAATAATTTTAGATACTATCTCTTTAGCAGATATATTAGTTTCATTCTAGAAATGTCAAAAAATATCTTTTAAAAATATAAATTACTATATTTAGATTATCACAAGATTGAAACTCATCTCCAATTTTCCAAGAATAAGTTATTACTGAATAATCGTAATCAAAAGATATTCGATTATACGGAAATATATAGGGAGCAATGTTTTTCTTCTTAGGTATATCAATATATATTCGAATGCTATTAGGCCAACTTATATTTTTCTTCATCGATGTCCTAAATCCATCAGAAATAAGTAAAAAAATAATAGTCCTGTGATAACATTGGCCAATATTTTAACGTCAATGATCTTTTAAAACTATCAAAACTAACGTTAAACCTATTTTTCCATTTTCCATATACCATTTCCTTTGCTTCTATAACTATAATTTCAAGTTTATAAAAAAGAGTAAATTTATCTTAAAGCATGAAAAAAGATATAAAATTAGTGTTAAACTTACGAAGAAAATTATACAATTCTACTAAAGGCTCTTTTTTTTGAGCAATAGATGACTTTAAAATTTCATTGCCAAATTTCTCAATTTCATTTTTTATATCATCATTTGTAGGTGGAGCGCCTTCAAAATTCCATTCAAAATCAACTAAAAACCATAGAAAATCATTCGTTTTGGAAATATCTTCCCCGACAAAACTCAAATAGATCACAAATTCATTCTCAACTAGAAATTTAGCTCTCCCATTTTCCACAACATAAAATAACATTGAATATGGTAAAACTTGATATAAAGACAGTCTCAACGAAATCAATATATTAAGTATGTTAAAAGTTTGCAGAACTTTATTAGGATTTAAAATTTCTGGAGTTATAAACGTAACCTAATATACGTATATATAGTTATGTTATAGCAAATAAGCACTTCTTACAGATGTTTCTGAAAATTTAAGTCGAGGAAAAGTTCCGGTAGAAAGAACCTCCATAGCAGTAATAATATCAGGACTTCTAACTCTAAAATAGAATAAAATACAAATAAAAATGTCAAAAACATACCGAGCATATGATAATTGACAAACAGTCGCTTTCAAAGAATGAATAACATTTAAAAAACAATTTTTTTGACCCTGCAAAAATGCAATAATATCCTAACCCATATTTAAAAAAATGAATAAATAAATATTTTTTTCAAAAATACAATGCATTTTTGAACTTCCTCAGAACTGTACGCCCATTTGACAAGAACATATAACTTAATAATTTTTCTTTTTGTAGAAAATATATATTCAAGAATTGTTCGTTTTTTTGAGACATTTGACATGGAAGGAAGCCTTAATGATAGATAAAAAGCACGATTTCACTTAAAATAAGACTTACAATTCCAAGATATTCTGCAGTTCTGAAAATATGTGATAAATGACTTGTTGAATCTATAATTTGATTAAAAAGTCATATAAACCCCGTTTAAACTCGGAAAAAAGTACCACGTCCCTGAGAGGGACCATTCCTTGTGTAACTTTGGGAAGAGGAGGAGGCAATAGGTCCATTACTTTGAAGAATATAGGTTTTCTTTACAGAAAGTTTTATTTGTATAATTCAAGGGTTTTTTACCGTTTTTTCCCTGAAAAAAGGGTGATATAGTATTCTATGCCAAGAACTTGATATTTTTCATATGTTTTCAAGAAAAATGGCCATTTTTTTCTTGTATCGTAGGACGTCGTCGACGACAAAAATTTATATCAGAAATATATTAACCACCACTTTTATCATTTCCTATAAAACCCGCTAATTCTATAGCTAAAAGGCATATAAATGAATCTGAGACATACTATAAGTCTTATATTATCCTTTATATATGTTTTATCCTCTTTTATTCGAGCAGAAACGGATTATTATAAGGCTTGATCAGCAAGTTTGTAGTAAGTCAGGAATTAATACATATATAGGTCCTTGAAGTGGATAGGAATGCTGACAGTAAAGAGTTAAAGAAGGCTTATCTTCGTCTTTCGAAAAAATGGCATCCAGACAAGAATGGTGGAGACGAAAAAAGATTTCGTGATATATCACATGCTTATGAGGTATTAAGCAACCCAGAGAAGCGTAAAATCTATGATACGAGTGGAGAGGAGGGTCTAAAGGCACATGAGGAATATGGCGGTGCACAGTATCATGATCCATTTGATATTTTTTCAAGGTTCTTTTCAGGATTTTATGAAGAGAGAAAAGGACCAGATATAAGAAAAGATGTACAATTGGAGCTAGAAATATTGTATTATGGAGGCATTCATACAATAGATATTGATAAAGAGGTATTATGTGATCATTGTAAAGGATCAGGTCGAGATCCTAAACATAAAGATAGTTTATCCCGTTGTAGTCAGTGTGACGGGAAAGGAACTCAACTTATACGTCAAATGATAGCCCCGGGAATGTTTCAGACGTTTCAAGTAATGTAAATTATATATTTTTGACAAATATATTTATTAATAAAGTCAGTTGTAATTCATGTTCTGGAAAAGGACATATAATATCACATCCATGTACTCTCTGTAATGGGAAAAAGGTTTTAAGGAAAAACGAGAAGTATACGTTAAATATTCCACCAGGTGCACCATATGGTTATCAATTTATTTTTGAAAATGAAGCAAATGAAAGTCCAGATTGGGTAGCAGGTGATCTTTATATTGTTATTACTGAAAAGCCCTACTCGAAAAGTGGTTGGAGACGAAAAAATAGCGATCTTTATCGTATCGAAACTATTTCTCTTTCCAATGCATTACTAGGAGAATGGAGTCGCAGAGTTAAACTATTTAATAATGAATATTTTAATATAACAAAACCAGCAGGTCATATTGTACAATCAGGTTTATATATTAAAACAAAAATAGCTCTTTAAAACTGATATAATCAGGTCATGTTGATGTATTTCCACAAAAAGGCATGCCAGTATGGAATTCAATAGAAAATTCAAATCATTTAAACAGAGGCAACGTTTACATCGAATGGAAGGTGATTCTTCCTGAACTTAAACTAGACGATCCCATTCGAAAAAGTTGTTTACCCATATTTTTACATATTTTTGATGCTAACTTAATAGAGCTAGTAAAAATCCTTAAAAAATAATTTTAATCTTTATACGAGACAATCATTTTGAACATACATTTATTTATTTATTTCTTAATATAATTTATTTAGCATCTGAGTAAAAACTAAGTTAATACTTGAAAGCTAAACCTAACTGAGTTAATATATTTTAAAAATAAGTAACGTATGATAAACTTAGATAAAGGCTTAATAATAATTGATTATAAGTTCTTAATATTAAAAAAATAATAAGATAAACAGATTTCCGCAGGGCTTTAAAAATGAAAAAAACACTTGCAAGCTATTTAATTGTCTGCAGCAGTTCATTTTTTCTTGGGATTCTCTTTATTAGTGTTGGTTTCTTAAAGTTATAGAAATTTAAGGCTGATAAATGAATTAAGTGGATAGTGGATCATTTCACATTTTGGATGAATCCAGTGACAGATCAAGCTCTTTTAAATGCGGAAACGTATTATTTGTTGTTATATCAAGCACCATCCATTCATAAAATTCTTTTACATATATTAATTTTTTTTGGCTTTTTTGCACATGTTATGAAACTATATGGGGGAAATAAAAGCAATCTATTATTTGACACTGGAAGTTTAGTCCTTTATATTGCCGGGATTATCATATATAATGTTTATCTTATCCAGGGTATAATTTTTTTATAGCTATAATACTTCTTTGTATAGACTATTCTAATAATAGGCCTTGAAACTATTTTTCAGCGTACTTATAATTCATTTAATAAGATAGATACATTAAGAATCATAGCAGCATCACATGTTGTATTGGCACTTATTTTAATTGGTATTCTTGTTTTACAAAGTAGTCAATTTTGTGCAGAACAAACAGTTTTACACTCTGAAATGTTAAATAAGCGTTCTAAGAAGCATCTACAAAGTAGCAGGCGCTTTTTATATTAATGAAATACAAAATAGATCTTAAAAATTGAATTTAACAATGGAAATGAATATAAAATAATATCAGCATATTAAACAAGACATTAAACGGCTATTTAAATTCTTTAATAGAATTATTTAAAAATGCTTTATCTAAATAAAATGATATCATCATTTTTATCAAATATTCAAGTGCAAAAAAGGGTTATTTATATGGAACGGTTATATAGAAAATCTCATTTACACCATAAACTCTTGCATTTATATTTTATGACATGTAAAAATTAAAATTTATTAAAGAAAATAAGTAAATAAACAAGTTTTAGAATAAATATATATAAATAAAATAAAGAATAGTCACAAATGTACTAAAATCTAATCTAAACATAAATTATCTTAATAAATCTTAAAAACATGTATTTTTAAGGGTTATATTCTTCAATTGACAAAAGACAGTAAATACACCTTGCCCTTCATCTCTTTATTGCACGTACTCGGGATCGAACCGAGGACCTCTCGCGTGTGAAGCGAATATGATAACCACTACATCATACGTGCTTATTCTGAGTTTTTAGCAAATTATCAAAAAATAAAGATGAATTAGTTTCTAATCTAAATTATTAAGATCTAGTTTAAACATTTCTTAAGTGTATTTAAGAGAATTCATAGTAATATGTCATTACATATTGTTTTAGATAGATTTGAAAAATACAATTAAAGTAATACAAGATTTATGTACATAACTTGATATTCTAAATTTCAGTTTAAAGGCTCTATAAGATTCTATATATTTCAAAATCAAAAGATATATGTTTACCAATTTATTAAAGAAATATATAAAAGTAGGGAGAATAAATAAATAAATATAATAAACTTAAAATTAAAACTTAATAAAAATGAATTGATGTAGTTAAGAGTTTTTTCTTGATAGAATTTAAGATTTTAAAAAATTACTAAAAAAACATGCAACAAAAAACATTAATTTTAGATTTCAAGCAAAGATTTGTTAATTTTTTAATATATTAGCTCTATATCTCTAGAAATTGAAAGAAATTTTTCATAAAAATATCAATTATATTTATAGTATAATTTTAAAAATATTAAAATATAGTACTTTTATATCTTTAGACAAAATTAATCTTGATAAAACCTGAAATATCTATTTCAATAAATATTTTATCAAGTCTATATTTATATAACTTTTCTTATAGACAAAAATGTAATATTAATTATATAATTAGACGTATTTATAGTAAAATATTAAATATATATTGAATATTTAATACATTTTAAACATAGTCAAAAAACGTTTAAGTGTAAAATCATATTTATAACAAAGCTATTCAAACAATCTAAACACAAAGCATAAAATAATATTTCATTAATCATAAAACCTTTTTATATTATAAAGTTCATATACCAGTGGAATTTCAAATGTACACCACACATACTACATTTAGATAGTAATCCTGTAAATGTGAAAGTTAAAAATGAAACGTCGTACGAAACGACTGCTTTAAGTCAAAATATGAAAAATTTAATGGAGAATCAGCCCCAGTATAAACAAACAAATCGTATAAAAACCCTCCCAATAAATATCCTATAAAAGGTACAATTACAAGGACCCAAAAGTAATAATGGCCAGAGACTATACTTCATTGCCATAACCTACGGCATAGGCCAAAAGACGTGTTCCTAAATCACGAGCCATATTAATTGCATAACCCGTTTGCCAACTCAAACATGCACCGATGCTGAAAATAAGAAAAAGAATAATCGAAGGACCTTTATCATTTGCCGGAGTATTATATTGATCACAAATAGCAAAAATATAAGCCATAAGAGCGGCAGAACCCATGATTTCAGATAAAATTGCTGCCCTGTCAAAAGAAAAACAACAGGATAAGTACTAAAAACAGAAGCGGTTGCACTAGAACCAATAACAGCCCTCTGACCAACCCTTGATATGCATCAAATGCAGAATAGTAATTGAGATAAAGGATTAATGCATCCAAAAAACAACCAGCTACCTGAGCAAGCGCGTAAATAGGAAACTTTCGAGATGGAAATCCTCGAAACACACAATTAGCAAGCGTTACACATAGATTCAAATATCCGCCAGAAATTCATCCACTAATATAAACGCCTAAATAGCCGTTATTCGCCGTATACGTTGAATCTATCCCAGTATACCAAACATGACACCAACATCCCAACCCCAATTATAATTGAATGATAATTTCCCTTTGTACCACTCGATAAAACAACTTGGGCGACAACGCCATCACCAAAAAGAATGATCTATACGAGTAACTCGACTTATTAAAAATAGAAAAAAATACCACCAAACATGCAAGAAACTCAGCAAAAGGTTCACGTTATGTCCTACGAAACTTGACCCAGAAATTTTCAACAGAAAAACCATCTGCACAAGAATATTATATACTAATAAATATACCATAACCATACTTTTATCAATTGTTACTGTCTATATTCATAGGAAAATTATATATTTTGTTACAATTTATTAATGACTTACATGTATGGACTGAGAGATGTCTTAACTCTCCAGCTTTTCATTAGAAATTCCAATTCTGCCATTAAAGTGAGTTGAATTTTGTTCCTTTAAAGGCAGCTCGAGATTAACGGACGGACAGACGGACAGGGCGGACCAGTCCAGTCAGTAACAGAAATAGTACTGGGAGCAACCCTAGAATAACCCCAACCTAACTGATAAACATCCCTGATAGTCCTAAGAGCCCTGAAAGTCCTAACCCTGGAAGTTCTAGCTCCTAGTCCTAACCCTCAACCCGATATTGATACTAACATTAACCCTAACCCTTAACAATAACATTGAGACTAACTCGTCCTTAGCACTAACTATAGACATGACCTAGACCTAACCCTTAACTCCAGCTGTTCTAACGCTAACACTAAACACTGGCGCTAAACACTAGCGCTAAAGATATCGCTTATCAACTAAATTAGTATTAAAAAATAGATAATATTGGAATATAAAGACCGGATAATATGAACAGAAGCCATTCTCTTCGTCACGGAAGACCTACGTCTGGCAGTTCACGTATTAATGGACACCGTAAGGAAGATTTTAAAGGGATTGGGTTACGTTAATAAAAACAGGGTTTACATTCTTGAGCTTGCGGGGACATGCAACCCATACGAGCCTTCCAAAGCTTATTAAAATGGAAAACAGCTTGGTTTCTGCATATGAAGCAGCAGGACGAGAGCAACAAGTAGTCGCATCGCAGTTATCGCAATGGGGTATTTTACTAGAGAAAAAAAGACAAATAATAAATGATCATATTAGGAGAGGAAACGGGAGATGATGCGATCGGAGATTTGAGTGATAAGGTCGCAGTTATCCTTTCAGAGATAGGAGATATCGAGGAGAATCATGCAAGTCAAATCGATGATTCGCGGAGAGTCTTGAAAACAATTCGTAATATTGAGAATTCAGTGCAGCCATTAAGAGACGCAAAACAAAAATTGATCGATCAAATTGTTATTCTAAAGCATAAAGATCCGGAATCAATTAAATTGATCGAGCAAGAACAGAAATTGGTTCGTTTGGAGGCGGAAAATCTTGTAGCCGAGGCGCAGTTAACTCATGTATCTCGACAGAAATTAAAAGAAGCATATAATATGTATTTTTTATCAGTCCAGGAACGAGCAGAAAAACAGTGTCTTTTATCACATTATGGTCGAAAACTTTTAGATTTATTAGATGATAATCCAGTCATTCCAGGAGATGCACGTATAGCATATGAATCAGAAAAAGAAGCAAAAGAGCTTCTTTTAGAAGCAGAAGAAGCGCTACATTCTTGGCGTCCGGGACAATTATTATACGAAAGAGAACATGCATCAAATAATAATTTAGTAACGGATCAAAGTCATAATAATTTTCGAAAGCCTGATTTGTCTACGGTAGCTATTATTAAACATGAAACAAATGAGGAGACTGAAAAATCTATATCTTTATCATAATGTCATATCGTAAGCGTTTAATTGGTTTTATTAAATATAATAAAAAGTATTTTTAACAGTTTAATCATACAAATAATATAAATAGCACGGATTAATTATAAAATTGTTATTTAAATAGGAATTCTCTTTGTATTAGCGAATAATTAATTATATTTCATTTATTTTAATGTCATGAATTGATCAGCTCTTATTTCAAAAAATATTATCTTTAAAAATGGGTAGAAATTCAAGTGTTTCTAAATAATACCAATTCCATTCATTTATATTTGAGAGACTTGATATATTTTTCAATATAATCTTTAGTCCTTGATTATCATATCAATTTCATCTGATAACGTCGGCTTTTAACGTTTAAGTTAAAAACTATAAATAATGGGCATCCAAAGTTTTCATACATTAAAGAGAGAGAAATTATTTAAAAACCCAAGGAAGGAGCCGGAATATCCAGAACTCTTAAAAATTACAGCACCTCATATTGAATCATTTAACGCATTGACAGATGATCAGTTATTAAATCTTGCAGTTAAAGATATTGGGAAAAAATCAGTTTTTGATGGGGAGAATGGGAGTCTTGGCAATAAACTATCATGTAAAATAGATTATTACTTGAAAATAGTAAGTTTATTGATTTAACGGCGGCTAGTCCGTATTGAAGAAGTTCAAATTGCAAAACCAACTCTTCCAACTCGTGAACGTACATCTATCAACCGAAAAATACTTCCATCAGAAGTAATATATAGTCTTTATACAGAGATATATGAGATATTTAGTCTCCTTAGTGTCGTGAACGTTTTTGCACTTATAAAGCTCGTCTTCTTTTGAAGCTTGCATGGAGCATAAATGATGAAGAAGAAACAACAGAAGTAAGAGAGTTTGGACAGATTCCAATTATGGTTAAGGTACAAAAATTATAATATTTCTTATATTTTATACATATTGTCAATAATTTAGTCGAACCGATGCCATATTGAAAAACTATCACCAGCAGATCTTATTGCATCTAGAGAAGAACCAGAAGAACTTGGAGGATATTTTATTGTTAATGGAAATGAAAAAATTATTCGAATGCTCATCGTCCCAAGAAGAAATTACGTAATGGGTTTAATACGATCCTCATTTACAAACAGAGGAACAAATTATACACATTTTGGAACACAAATTCGCTGCGTTAGACCCGATGAAACATCACAAACGAATACTCTGCATTATCTAAATGACGGAAACTGTATTTTTCGATTTTCATGGAGAAAAAACGAGTATCTGGTTCCTGTAATCATGATCCTCAAAGCACTTATAAATACTAATGATAAAGAAATTTTTGATTCTATTATTGGATCAGATAGAAAGAACACAATTTTAATGGATCAAGTTGAAATTTTACTTAGAACATATAAAAACTACGAACTTTATACACAAGAACAAACTTTACAATATCTCGGTGAAAAGTTTCGAATTGTATTAAACTTGGATGAAGATCTTACTCATGTTTCTATTGGAGAAATGTTGCTAAAGAAGGTTGTCTTAGTTCATTTAGAAAACAATTATGATAAATT